GCAAAATAATGTTAAGTATTTCGCTCAATAATTTATGGAATTTTTTAAGCAATTTCGTTAAATCTATCATTTGTTAGCCTTGTTAGACACACATAATACTTTAGTTTTTGCTTTCTTATACTTTTGTCTAGTTATACAGAGTGGTGATCACCCAACTTTTGTTTAGGTTTATAAGCAAAATATATCTTATGATAGGTATAGTGGATTATTAGTAAATATTCTTATCTTGCCTACCCCAATTCCTTCGTTCAACTTTTATTAAGACAATGAAAGGTCATCAATTCTCAATCTTTCCACCTAGGTGTGCAAAAGGTCCTTTCCTTTCTATCCGTGCTTAATGTGGTTAAGATTAATTCAATGCAAGGACTTTGGCGTATGATAGCAAATTCCAAAATAGTTTGCTTACTTCATAATGGGTCTTACCCTCTAGTTTATAGCCAATCTTGCCCTTACAACTATGGAATTAAAAAAAGTGACCTATTATTCTTGGCAAATTTTAGGCAAATTGGATTAATATTAAGGATTAATTTGAACAGCACATAAAGACTAATTTATGAAATTGCCCTGTGGAATCAACATAAGAGTCAAATTGTCTAGTAGTACATAATAGCCTATTCTAGGTTAATTTGATTATGGAATAACATTAGGTAATTTTTCAAATATGTGATAACTAATTCGTGGAAGATTTTACTTCAAATGTAAACAAAAATTGCTTTTCAAGGCAAATTTCTCTTTAGCCTCTTCGCCAATGGGTGATTATGGTCAATACAAGTCTCTGCTCAAGCTTGTATGATAGATTTTTTAGCTTTGTAATGTATTTCAAAAATTTTGGGAGTGTTTAAGGTTATTTCATTTTTAGACAAAACCCTTTTCTAATATCTTTAAGCTTGTTTTGTTCTTCAGAGATCAAAGTGACAATACCAATGTTTAGTAGCAAGCTTTACAACTCTTTATTCTGCATTTATAATGTGAAGCCTCTCAACTACTTCATTTGGTAAAAGCTCAATTAGCACATAGGGTGATCTATGCGTTCCAAATATAGGCAAAAATTGAGTTACAACTCTTACTAAAGTAGTTATATAATCTTGCCTATATGGAAAATATTCACTATATAGAAATTCTCTTTTATGAGGAGGTACATACACATGTGGATTATGCCATATAAAGGGTGGTTCACACCTTACAAAGGGTTTTTCAGGCCTAAAGTGATGAGTATTTCCCTTAGCAATTAAGTGTTGCTCAATTGATTTGAAAGATGGATTTTTACACGTATTCACTTGTATATTTGCTCTTTATCTATGCCTCACTTTAAGAGATATGGGGTGTGTTTCACATGATTTCCCTTGATTCCTCTTTATGGGGCTAGATGTGATGTAAGTGCTCTCAAAATATATAAAAGAATAACACTTTTCACATTGAGCAGTGTTTATAAGCTCTTTATGTATAAGATATGAGCCTTGATTAATTTGCTTATGTGTACTAGGTGTAAAGCGATTTGTAATAACCATTTGTAAATTTTCGACTTATGAGTATTATTTGAGTCTCATAGACTCTTGCAGTATGCATAGGAGACTTAAATTTGGGACAAATCTACTCTCAAACCATATTTAAGTAGTAGTCTAAGCTAAAGGATTTTGGATCAAAGCCTTGAAACAGCATAATGTTTTATCTATTAAAGCCTTGTAAGATTTGGGTGAATAATTCCCCAATTTGTTCTTCACTAAAATTGACTTTAACTCTCTTTAAATTGGAGTCAAAGACAAAAGTTATAGGTGCCCAATTTTCTTACTTGTGTATACCTAGAAAAATTGTGATACACTGCTAAAAAATATATTCTCTAAAAACCTAAGTAAAAGCTTGCTCAGAAGGAAAGAATTCTAAAATAGTTGATTGTGTTTTCCACATCAAACAAACTCCATTCCTTTTTCTTTTGGATTTTTGTCAAAAAATTGCTAGCAAAGCAATTTAAACTTGAGTTTCCTAGCAATGTATCTAATACTTCAATTTCAAACTAGTCTCATACTCTGTGGCTTTGGTGACAATTGAAAACTATCTTTTTTGTGTTATCTAAACACTAAGTCATTACAATCGCAAGAAGAGTTTCTTCATTTAGTATTGTCTAAGCTCAAGGCTTTTGCAATTACTAAAGAGAGCTACTTGTGATTTATAGTGTTGGGCATGTTTGGAATTCACAAATGATTCTCTTAGTTGTTTTTCAAGCCAAAAAGTGACAATTTATCCCACCGTGGTTGCTAAAAATAAGTAAAGGTTTTTCTACCTGTACTTGTGTTCTTGCCCCTGCTTGCAAAACAATGACAAACAAATAGAGACGAGAACATAAAAGAAGAAGAGAAGAAAAAAAAATAGAAAATTGAGAATAAAATAGAACTCAACCTCAAACCCCAAATGCATAAGTAAGGATAAGTATGTGTTATTTTTCTTAACTCTACTTTATAAAAAATAGTCATAGGTGGGAGGAAAAATGGTTAATTCAATGCAAATGCATACAATAGTGAATAGGGGTTGCAGGAGAAAAGATGGTTAATTCAATGAAAATGTATATAATAATGAATAGAAGTTGTTTTCCAACTAAATGTTACTTATATACTACATAATTTTATAACCATTTCTAACTACTTCTTGCCTAGATCAAGTTTTTCTTCTTTAAATGCTTAAATTTAGGCATAATTCTAGAAACTTCCTTCTTTTGCTCTGAGAAGATATACAAAATAAAACATTTACCTCTTTATCAATCGCTCTTTTCCATCCAAATTCCATGCTTCACCCATGGATTCATTGATCGATCAAAGAAGAAATAATGTCTTTGCTATTTTAGATGAATTAATCTCTCAATGAACTATTCCGAGCAAGGGAAAAAGATTGATCACAATCAATGGGTACAGAGTTATGAGAGGTCTTGCACTCGATTCCCATCCCATTACCAGCATAGAAAAGGGGCATAAGTTTATGTGGCTAGGGCAGTACTTAAGGATCATCCTAGAGCCGGACAGATTCCTCTTTCTACCTTTTTATCATTTATCCTTGCGCTAGGGTATGGATCCATTTATCAATATTTCGGAGAAGAAGCAAAAGCGGCACTGGGATGGTATGATCACGAATCGCAAGGTGAGGCGTAGAACTACAGGTGCTCTGGATCATCCCAGCTGGTCCCAGCTGCCTTTGGAACTCCAGCTCCACATTCTAAACTTCTTGCCACTGCCGGCACTTTGCCGTGGAAAGAGCGTCTGCAAGACTTGGAAGTCCGCAATCCAGGGCTTGGGATATAGCAAAGCTCACAGGTTTTGCAATGGGCAGTGGTATATCATGGATGGTTTTTGCAGTGTTGGTCTCTGTGATGGAAATTCAAGGCCTCTTTCATGAAAGATGATCGAGATGTTTACAACGATGGAAACAGCAAGTATCTGTGTGTCTTCTGCCGGGCTTGTTCTTGCATACTTCCCCTTGAACACCTTAGGGACTGCTGTGGTTTGCAACCCCTTAGATTTAAGTTCCCTGGTGAAGCTGCCTCCACCACCTGGTTCTGAGCCAACCATAATTTTCGTGGCTATCCAATCTTCAGTTGGTAGTGACGACAGGCCTTGGTTTTCCGTGGTTTGTGTTCAGGGAATCAAGACAACGTATGTAGGTGCACGCCATCTAGTTCTACAAGTTTATGATTCCAGAGTTCACAAATGGGTCTCGTCTTGTCGAGTATTCACAAACGGGAATGAGATTGCCCAGACTTCCTTTGATGACGCCAACGATTGCATGCTTCTACGGGAGAACAAGCTCTACTTTATCACGATCGCAAAGAACAACACCAGATCACTCAAGTGCGTCAACGTGTGGGATTCAGATGGCAAGGTGGCGACTTTGGCAACCTGGACGAGTCTTCCCATGGGCTTGCATCAAGAACCATACAACGGATGCCGAAACAATAACACCTCACTTGTTTACTGTGCCGGTAAGTTTATGTTTTCTTTTTCTTTTTATGCTTGGTTTTGTGTTCACTGGGTTTCAGGAAAACTGGTGCTTGCGAACTTTATACTGGATGCACAAACCCTTGGTTTTGTCTATCTGGACGAAGCATCCAGACAATGGCGACCCTTGGCAACAATGCCTAGAGAGATTCTGCCGGCAAATCTGAGAAAAGTTGGGCTGCTAGCAAGCAATATGCATCAGTGGAGTTTGGTAGTGGCGGGAGGTGAGACGGAGATCACCTTCTTGATGCTTCACTTTGAAGGGTGTTCGGGTGGCATTTACAATGAGGTGACTGGTATCTGGCGAACGGCTTTTCACCAAAGGGGTGGTGCGTTGTATCCTTTTAAGCCATCATTCAATCCACTATGACAATATCCCAAGGAAGACTGTGCAGCCGAAAACCAAGAAAGAATGTGCTCCTTCATAACCAACTCAGCTACACATTCACTTGTAACTGTCGGGATTGGAGTTGAACATCGTAAATAAGCGTTTTCACAAAACTTTGTTGTGATCACAAAGAAATTCTTGGCTTGATCCGAGCACCAGGGTGCCAACTTTGACACACACATGATACAGCTCAAAGTTTTGGCGTTTGACGGTCAATCGTGGAGTTGCCAAGAAATCTATCAAGACAAAACTCTTCATATTCTTCCACCGCAGTTTCAATGGCTGGCGTCGATGCAACCATTCAAGTGGTTCTCCAGAAACCGGCATGTTGACCATGTCAAGAGTCACAAAGAAAAAGTTTTGTCTTTAAAACTTTCACGCTGCCTCACGGAATCTGTCCGACAAGGTTTAAACTATTGATCGCTGATCGCTGGTAAAACGGTATCAGAGAAGAAAAAGCAGGAGCAACCTGCATAGCAGACAAGATGGTCAAATATTCATCAGTTAGCGTAAGACAATCAAAATCAAAACCATCATACAGCTCGAGGAGGAAAGCCAGGCGACTGATGGTTTCAGGTACGAGGCCCTCAAGTTTATTACTATGTCGTTGTCAGTTAGCAAAAGTTAGAATCTGCAGCTCAATCAACTCCATAAAGAAAGAAAACAGAGAGAACTCTCACAAGATTCTCAGCTGTGGCAAGCTGCCGATTTCTGGAGGTATGGCTCCTGGAAAGTTGTTGTCTTCCAGCAGTCTGTCACGAAGGCGAAGACTAAAACTATCATGAGCAGTGGCAACTCGCAAAATCACGTATAGGTGAAATAGTTTTGGCATCGTAGACAGCGCAGTGGGAATCACACCGTTGTTGAGATGCCTGGAGAAAAACAATTAAGCCATATGGTACACAGTCGTAGCAAAGTCGTCTTAATACCGTCAGGTTGTCAAAGCCCGTGCCGTCAAACGAGATCACTTCCACCTAGATCCCTGGAACAAGAACTGCTGCCCCATTGAGCTTCCCTTCCCTCAGAGCTCGCAGCGCTTCGTTTGCCTCCTCCAATCTGAACTCCACTGTCTCCGTTTTGATCTCCATGCTCGAAGCCACTCGCAAGAACTCGATGGCATCCAAGCGCGTGAGATTCGCGACCGACACCACTCTCCTCTCGCCCCAGATCGCCGCGTATGGAATCGAGGGGACTGGAGTCATGTAAATCCCGCCGCAAACCACCACCCCGCCCTTGCGAATGGCTGCCAGAGCGAGCGGTACCAGCGATCCCACCGAAGCAAAGATGATGGCGGCGTCCAAGAGTTGTGGAGGCGACGCGGTGGAATCGCCCGACCAAGTGGCTCCAACTTTTCGAGCAAAAGCTTGTGCCTCTACGTCGCCCGGTCGAGTGAAACCATACACTTCATGACCTTCGTGTCTCAACACCTGGAAGATCCAAAGCTTTTGTACGATTCGAGAGCGGTCGAAGAGCTCGGTGTACCTGAGCAGCGATGTGAGCAGCAGCTCCAAATCCATAGATTCCAAACTTGCGGGGTTTGGGCATTCCAGGCGTGAATCCAGCCATCCTTAGTGATCGATAGCCGATGAGACCGGCGCAAAGGAGTGGAGAGGCTTTCACGTCCGGGTAATTCTCCGGAAGGGAGAAGCAGTAGGCACTGTTCGCAACGGCGTACTCGGCATAGCCACCATCGATCGTATAGCCTGCAAGAAAGAATCTTTTTCCATGCAAAGAAGAACTGGAACGAAGAATAAAGAACTTGAAAGCTTTCTCACCTGTGAAGCCTGGCTCGTCACACAAATTCTCAGTTCCATCCACACAGTAGCTGCAGCTCCCGCAAGTTCTCCCCAGCCAAGGAATTCCCACTCTAGCTCCAATTGAAAAATGCAAAGGATCCACGCCTCGCCCGATCTTATCCACCAGTCCCACGATTTCGTGACCAGGGATTATCGGAAGATTGGGCTCCTTGAGCTCGCCGTCGACCTGCGCGGCGATTTTTGGAAGGAAATCAAAGCCTGGCGCTTACCACATGGAGATCCGTGCGGCACACAGCGCACGCCGAGACCTTGACGCGGACCTGGCCGTCGCGAGGCTCTGGAATCGGGAGCTCCGTGAGCTTGAGAGCGCTTCCAGGCGCTTCAAGCACCATAGCTCGCATCATAGTGGGAAAATATTTAGGGTTCTTCGTTAGAATTCACCCAGTTAAAAAAAGAATATTCAAATTACTGTTTTGATTGATTTTGTTAAATTGAAAACTACATTGGAATAATATCAAAACAAAAAATATTGAATTCCACTTTGAAAGAAAAAATGATGAAATAATTATAAGGATGTGCTTCCTCAAAAGAAATTATCAAATTCATTAAAAAGAATTATCAAATCCAAGTAACACAACAACTAGTCTCCACTGCAAAATGGTTGAATATCAATGCTGGTCAACACTTTGTATGTGATATACGTCATAACACTTTCTTTTCTGCTTCCATTGGTTAAGAGTAAACATCAGTGTTAAAATGTGATTATATAAATAACCCTTTGACAATTACCCTGGCTGCCATTGAGTGGATTTGGTGGCCTAGAAAGTTTAGCAACTCCTCATTATTGAAAATATTGTTAACAAATACTGTTTTGAATGTCATAGTTATAATATAAGTCTCTCAAAACCATTTCTGGAATTGGAATTGGACTATTCTAGACAGGCCTTTTTATTTGTTCATTAGACTTATATCAAGAATTTCTTTCAGCACTACAAACAATGCATGGAGCAAGAATCACACTCAATAGAAAATTGGTGGAGGTGAAAATATTTAATATAAAACCTCCTTATACACTGTATTGATGGTGAAAGTAGGACTCAAAGGTCCTTGGAGTGACGTGTTTTGTACTTTAATCCCTAGCTTTTGAAGCACATCAGTCACTCGAAGATCTTAAGAGTAACTGCAAGGAAACCACCAAGTGAAGCTTGGGACGATGATGCCACATTTTTCGCTAAGAGCTATCATAGTCCTGACTCAATATCTTTCTGTTTTCTTCAACGCCATGAAGTTAGGCCATCACAGCAAAATCATGAAAAAGGTGGAAAGAAGAAAGAAGAGCTCTTGCCTGCCATGTCCTCAAGCATGCCAAGTGCCAAAAGACGGGATTGCAAATAGCATATTGCCACTTCCTGCACACACACGACACTTTTCCCAGTGTGTAGGGAGATAGACATAAAAATCTGTAAGCAGCAAACTTAGAACAGCAAATGAAGAAAAAAATGGAGCTTTAGATGGTACATTCCTTATGAAGTATATCTTCGGAAAGTTTCTAATGTACTAGAGAAGGATCAAGTTCGATCTGGTAGCTTTGAGTAACAGGACGTATCCTGGTATTGTAAAGATCTAGCCAAGAAAAAAAAAACAAAGAAAATGTGGAGTTCCAATCCTCAAGCAAAGAATAGTATGCTTACCCAGCCAAGGTCTCGCTGTTACAAAGTATTGCACTGGTCTATACACTTCTGTGTCGTGAAGAATTGGATGAAAAACCATAGCCATTGCCCTTTCCATGATCGCATCTACAAGTTGCACCTAGGATTCGGGAGGATGAGTGCCTTGAATTTCACCTGGAAACACATGCCTATCAATCAAATCCCTTGAATTCCCCTGAGAAACTTACGATCAAGCATGCCATAGGCTATGCTGCTGCCTCATAAATAATATTCTACATAGGTGGCTAAGCAGGTTTTATTTTATCTTTGTCTTGTTGGATCATCCTGGTCCTGAATTAAGCACTTGATTAACCAAAATTAATTAAAGTTGTTGGCTTACAAGATTTGGTCAAAACTTAATTGTAATGTGTCTCTTTTAAATAAGCAATATGCATAATCTAGAAGTAATGTGGTTATCATTGTGTATCTTACCAAAAGGAAATATCAAGGGAATTAACATCAAGTGTTTTAAAATCTTTCTATAAATATTTGCCATAAGATATATATAACTTTCATGGTTCTTCTAATAAAAACAATAGTAACATCATTTATTTGTGGTATACTATAGCATTAATAATTAATTCCTTCATTCCTTAGTAACATATAAACACCACATAAAGAACAGCTTGTAATTGTTATTTCATAAAGTTCTTTTTGTTCCATTTCATACATCATTCTATAAGCTTATGCATATAAATTAATATGATGGAGGAGTGTATCAAGATATAATAATAAATCTCATTAATAACTTGTATTAAATGGGTTTTGATGCCTTATATTTGTGACTTCTTATATACCTAGCATATAAAGTTGCCCATAAAATGGATTTTGACCTCCAAGAGAGTGTGACGACATGACATTATGCTAAATCTATCTATCTATCAATTCTAAAGTAATAAGGACCGTTACCCCTGAAAGTGTTACCCCTGAAAGTGTCAATAACAACACCAAAACTCTCAGCTGAATGTATTTACATGGGGTGTTGCAAGCCTCAAGCCACTCCACTTCACACTCTCAAACATAAAGAAAGCTCCCAATTGAGGATGCAGGTTCCAAACACAATTCTAAAGATCTCTGGTGACAAAGCTTGGCTGCGAGCAAACAAAATGCATGAGTGGAGTTTGGTAGTGGTGGGCATATCGATGGCTTAAAAGGAGACAAGACTCCACCTGTTCCCTGAAAAGCAATTTGCCATATATCAGTCACCATGCAACCCCAAGAACCTACTTTAAAGTGACTTATAAACAAGGTGATCTCTGTTTCACCGTGATCTTTAAGAGACATTTCCATATCAATATATAATGAGTGACTTCTTTCTATAATTTTCTAGTGTTTCATCCTCCAGTATAAATTGCCCAAATGCGTATTCATCAGCTTTGAAAGTTAGCTATCCTTGTGCATATTCCAGAGGGATGTAGCCACTGAAAAACTTACAAATAGTCAGAGAGAAGATTCATAAGGTGTAAAATGCACTCACGGGTTCCTGCTGGTGTTATGGTGTAATGAGTTTTGCCATCCGGTATGAGCTCCACCAGGCCATAATCTGTAATTTTCGGTTGAAACCTTTCGTCAAGTAGCATGTTGCCAGGTTTTATATCCCTGTGAACAATGTTTTTCCCTGAGCACAAATACGCCAATCCTTCTGCAACTCCAAGACATATTTCAAATCTTGTCTTCCGAACAGTTACATTTCTGCTTCTGCAAATATTGTAGAGACTGAATCTAAAACGAGAAATTTAAGGCTTACCATCCAAAGCATGTCGGAGGCTTTTTCTTGTCATGTACTCGTACACTAATAGTTGATAGTCGTTTTGCAGCTTAACGAGATTTGTGTGATGGAGGGCAGAAATTGTTTTGACCTCTCTAACAAAATGGCACTGAATTTCTTCAGAATGGAACTTCAGGTACTTAATTGCAACGGTCTGTCCCTCCAACATTCCCTGTTTACTGGGATGTAAACGAAACAATGAAGGATGTTAACTTTTAGATTTACCTTATAGACAACTGCAAATCCCCCTTCTCCAATTTCATTCTGGGCGTTAAATCCCATTGTCGCCTCACTGAGTTCTTGGTAAGAGTATGCCTTGGTCTCCGCAAGTTCTATACGCGTTGCTGATGAACATATACGAAGAGTTTCAGAGATGAAACAACATTCATGAACGGTAAAGTACCTGCGCCTGCCTTGCTCCTATTGTGTATCCAATATACGACGATCAGAACGCATGATAATGATGCAGTAAAAGGCACCAACGACAGGATCAGTATTATCTGGGTCCGTGATTTTTTGCGTGGTGATTCTGGAGATGCACCTGGTGAACTCAACCCACGTGGACCTGGTGCACCTGGAGCTTACGCTGTCAGCGAGAAAAATTATAGCATCAAAATGGCTCACTCGGTATTCCAGTGCTCCATATCGCACGTAAGCCTTCTGATTGATGAAGCCTGTATGCTACTAGATTCCCATCGTTCTGCACTCTCAATATAGTAGAGATATTGGGACTAGATGTACCTGGGTTACTCCACAACCGATTTCCCGTGGGACCATGCAATACCACATGACCATCGGGTCCAAGAACTAAAGAGCAGCCAGGGCCCGTATAAGCAGTGAGTAAAACTGGTGGCCAAATGCTCCTGTTGAAAGTCAAATCCCGCAACAACACTTTGCAGTCCTGTTGCATCTCCAGCTCGTAAGCCTGATCCCGTGAGGTGAGCTTGCATCTGGCGTGTAACGTGTTGAGGATGGTGCGGCTTTCCAGAGTATCGTGTTATGTGTAGCCATCGCAGTTATAATCAATCCTGGAATTTGCCGGAGCCAAGTGCAACCATCATTTCCTCTAGCACTGATACCCTTGATATGGTAACCGACTTGAAGCTGTCCCGAGATGGTATATGCAGCTCCATAGGTCCTGTTCATAAGCAGCTCCAGCTCTGAGACCAACGTTCATCCCGCAGCATGCTCGAATTCACGACTTTGGAAGCAGCTTGACAAATGGAAGGATCCCGCACAAGCATGCTCAGGACAATCGAATTGCTGTTTGCAAGCTGAACAGTGTTAAAGAAAGACAGGCTCATAGAATAGTCTAGCCCCAAAGGGATTTCCTTATCTATGAGAGAGGAGAATCGAGCAACTACGACCTGCTTCGTGGTGGCATCAAGCTTGAAATTGGGATCTTCCGCAAACATGTTGAGGCTCCCGAATGCGGAATGTGCTGAGAACACGAAAACGTAGAGGATGAGGAATATGGGCAGAGGTGCCAACAATGCCAACAGAAATTATGCCCGCATTGGCAAGCGGGAGGTGAGACGGAGATCACCTTGTTCATAAGTCAGTTGATGGGGTCGGTTGCATATACAATAGGTGACAGGTATCTGGTGATCTGCTTTTGGTGAAAGGTGCAAGGCTTGTATCCTTTCCACTTAGGTTTCACAACTAAAACTCTTGCTACCATTTTGAGCGTAGGCAATCAGCATTGTGTTCCACGGCATGATCGAGCATCGCTTTTGCTTCTAAAATCCCCGTGTTCTTCATGTAAGCCAGCATTACAACATTACAGGCATCACATCAAGAACCAGTTTCTTTGCTCCAAATCACCATTCCCGGTAAGAGGATGCAAGAAGCTACGATATTAATTCCCCATCACAAAACTCTCTTTTGATGTTTTGGCATCTCCTTTCTTTCAATCGTACTAAGAGACTTCGCTCCTCTTAGGCATTCTTTCAAACGTTAGCGTTGCAGTCTCTAAATGCTCAACTGAAGTTTAGAGCATAATAGTCCAAGTATCTTCGAATTTTCAAGAAACGCGGAAGCTCGCATTACCACGTTATAACATTTCCTTGACTGTCCTCTCGTCAATCTCTTTGCTTCTAGGAGCTGAACATTGTGAGTAAACGTTTATCACGAAACTTCTAATATGGAGATGCGGCTGAAGGCACGAATATGGTTGAAAATTTTCTTGGCGCCAAATGTTTCACATGCGATCTTGGGAGGCGATCGGTGTTCTTCTACGCGGATCTCATCAAATCCTGCAGAGGGGCGCATCCACTCGCACAGGCACAGCCTCTATCTCCCTAATCTCTTAATGGCAAGTTGGCAGCCCCGAAGATTCGCAGCAGCTCTTCCACGGCATTATCTCATCTCTCGCGACATCATGCTCTCGTCAGTGACAGGAAACGAGCACTCGGATCAAGCCAAAAGTTTCTTTGAAGAACAAGTTGGACGTTCCTACGCCCAAGAATCATTCTGGGGCAAGTTCTTCGCCCGAATCCAAAGGGAACCAGATCAAAGTTTTGGCCTTTAATCCTGGACATCTTGGTTATCCCAAACTTTTGGATTCGGTTCCTTTAGGAATGGCAATTTTGCAACATTGAATTGTGGGGAACTAAGAGCATGTTGGTGGATGGAGCCTTATTATCTCTTTATGACAGCATGCAAATTACATTTTTCTTGTTGACTGAGTTGGGCCAGCTAATTTGACTAACTCTTCTCAACATTCCATGGCATGTGGATTGAGAAGAAGTTCCGGTAGAACCCATTTGACCCTCTTGAGGCACTTGTATCAGCTGTCATTCCTGCATTAGGGACTTGTATCAGCAAGTAAAGCAATTTAAAATTGCTATGAATCTTAAGAAACGTATATTCATAAAATCGTTTTAATAACTCACTAGTATGGAACTTGAGAGCCTCTTTATAGTCTACTTTGAAACTTGCTTAAACTCTCTCCCTTGATCAGCATCCAGTAAAGCTCCGTTCTCGCTGAAGAACTCACAGTCTACGTTAAAACCATACATGATCAAGAGATTTCTCAGGTGTTCCCAATATTTTGGTATTAGAGAAATCTCCTCCTTTCTTGCAAACGATCAGTCAATTCGATTCATGATGAAGAGCTTCGTGACACACAAATTTCGCATGTTCTCCCAGTGCTCACCCGGGAGTGAATCCCCATTCCGCAGTAAAGTTCTATAAGAGAAATACTCCAACGAGAACGTAAGGCCTGGAAGAACTTTGAATGGTGAGGGGCTATCGTTTCGGCTGGAATTATTGCCCCACTACAATTGGAACCATTCCCAGCTTAAGATGGAGAACGAGGCCATATTTTCTCGAGAAGATTAGTGATCGATCTCATTGGGGATGGAGGCAACTACTGGCGAGTCCTCTTCGTCAGAACTTAAAAAATGTTTCTATGTCCTCTTATAACTTCCACGTACAAAATTCGCGGCAACACAATTTAAACTGGACTTGCGAACGAATAATCTTACGATTTGCTGGCTTTCACGCCCATATCGTTTGAGCTTCGAGCGGATTTCCTTTATGGAGAAAGTTAATCGAACTTAAAGGTGGTGACAAGAAACGTCGTAGATTGTGGGCCGCGGCAAAATGTGACCGCTCTTCGCTGCTCTTACACATCTTGTGACTACCTAACTGGAAGCGGTGTTTTTCACCTGGAGTCTAGGATTTTGTCCATTTCTGCCGCGTGGCATACTGTGGTTGTGCCAAGTCTCTTACATGATTAACCCATGCATCCTATCTCCGGTATAAATACATTTATTTGAAACATACCAGGCTGACTTGTTGTTCTTGAATTCTTCTAATAGAAGTTCTTTCTTCTCGTTGGATTCATCAAGATGGCAGCGAGATTTATAGTGGTTTTCCTGGTTTTGACGATTGCTGCTGCTGTTGCAAGTAGCGATCCATTCGAGGATGTCAAGTGTTTCAAGGATTTGAAGCCCAAGGAGCCCAAGACTGTGTTCCGAGGAAATGGGGGAATGATCGAGATGTGGACAGGGGAATCATTTCCTGCCATGAAAGACGCCAGCATTGCCGCTGGAAGAATCACAATCAAGCCGGGAGCGCTTTTGATGCCGGCATACGTGGATATCCCGGCAATTAAAGTCGTAATCCAAGGTTTGATCCCCATTTTCCAAGGATTTTAGATTTTCGTGCATATATGTTTTTATGCATTGGTGTTTGTAATGAAAACCAGGAAATGTGGATGCTGGAGTGATCAACCCAATGGATATGAACAACAAGGAGAACGTTTACAAGCTCGACAAAGGAGATGTTGTGGCTCTTCCTCCGGGTGTTGCAACATGGTGGCGAAATAATGGAGCCAGCGACGCGATTGTGATCTGTGTGGGAGATATGAAGCTCAACCTTGAGCGCATCTCAGAAAAGGTGACAATATATACTTGTTGAAATCCTTGCAAAAAGTTGACACTTTTGTTTTAGGTGTTCTTCTTGGCTGGAAACAAAGGCAAGGAGAAGGGTGGATCGGGAAGCGTTGTCCGGGGATTCAGCAGCAAGATCCTTTCTCAGGCTTGGGAGACTTCAGAAGGGGTTGTGAAAAAGATACTTGAGAGTCAGCAAGAGAGTGGATTGGTGATGCCACCCAAATCTTCCAAATTCATGTCTAATCATCTTTCAAGGGATAACTCAGGCAGCCAAAGCCAAAACCAGAACCAGAGTTCATCGGCCCAGAACCAGGATCAGAACCGTCAAAGCCAAAACCCAGGCACTGGGCAAGATCAAGGTCAGAGCAAGAAGAATGCGGGTTTTGTCTACCACTATGCAGATGCCACTCCTGATTACCAGGTCAATCGAGGTGGCGAAGTTCGTGAGCTCAACAGCCTCAAGATGCCAATCCTTAAATACGTTGGGTTGGGTGCTGAATGCGTGCGATTGAGCAAGGTACCACCTTTATTTCCTTGTTATGATTTTTATTTGAATTTTCAGGGTGCAATGGTGGCTCCAAACTGGTTCCTCAATGGCCACCAATTTATCTACGTGCACGCAGGAAATGGCAAGCTCCAAGTCGTGAATAGCTTTGGTGATCGGGCTCTCGACTTGGATCTCCAGGAGGGTTCCGTGGCTGTCATCCCCAAAACGTTCCCCTCGACCGCCATCGCTGGTCCTAATGGAATGGACTTCGTCTCCATTCTCACCACCCACACGTAAGTCGTCGTCCAAACTCTCTTATTTGTTTGTGTAATGTCTGGGATCATTCTAACAATCCTTGGCATTCTTTGCCTTTGTTTGATTACTTGTTTCAACGCAGGCCAATTGTGTCGTTCTTGGCCGGGAACAATTCCATCTACAGCGCCATGCCACAAGACGTAGTGTCCGCAGCGTTTAACATCGATCTTTCCATCACCAAAACTCTCCAGCAATCTGGAAGCACAAGCATGGTCATTGTGCCTCCCAAAACCAGCGGTCAACCATGAAAAAGAAAGATCATAGCTGCAAGCCTCGAGCTTCCATCGCAATAAGAACCTATCAATAAAACAATCATTAACTTAATGAGGATATTCGAGTATACTTTTGAAGGGGGCATTTTAGGGTTCTATGATGCCCAGGGCGGGCATATCCGCTGGAATGGCGGTGCTAGGCGACAAGCGGCTTGCGGACAGTTCGAGGGAGATGGATGACCACTGCTGGATCGCCGGAGCAACAGGATCAAGAAGCGACCGCGTTGGGAATGCGCTGCTTGTGATCTGGTGAGCAAAACTTTTTTTGTTTTGGGCTAGTCTCAGCCTTTGTTCCCATCTCCTAGGCGCGACAAGGAGAAGAAGCAGAGGAGGAGGAGGAGGAGGAGGAAGAAGAGGAATTGCTTCAAATGGTGTTACTCTAGTTTGAAATGAGCCAGCGATGGTGGGGATCGAAGCTTTCGATTTTCGCGATTTTCTTACTGAGAGATGGGGGCTTTTTTGCTCGCGGGGATACGTTAGAGTCAGATTGTAAGTTTTCTTCCTCCTTTCCTTTTCTTCTTTCATCGTCCCTTTCTCAAAACTTTGTTTTGGTTCCAGTGGTCGCTATGCAAGACTTAAGACGAAGCATGAACATAGTGTTGAACTGGTATAATGGAGATCCCTGTGATTCCGAGTGGCAAGGAGTTGCTTGCGATGATAGGAAGACAAGAATTACTGGAATGTATGGGTACACCTTTCTCTTTTTTCTAGATGTACGCTAAGTTTTTCTCTCCTTTTTCTTTTTCTTTTGTAGAGCACTGATCAACATGAGATTGAGCGGTAGCTTGCCATCATCTATAGGGAATCTAACAGGCCTCCAGTCCTTGTAAGTTTCGTGTAGACCGGAACTTGATGGCATCATATTTTTCTCTTCTATGCAGGGACTTGTCGCTGAATCAAAACTTGAGGGGTCCAATCCCCTCTTCTGTTGGATTTCTCGTCAATCTCGTCAGACTGTAAGTGATCTGCTCGATGTTTTCGAAAAGAGAAAATCAAGTACATGTAAACTTTGGTAGGAGTCTGCAAAACTGTGGCTTCAACGGGAGTATTCCTAGAGAAATTGGCAGTCTTTCGGCCCTCTCGTTCCTGTAAGTCAAGATCTCATTCTTCCTTTTGGTCTCTAAAAAGATTTGTGGATTTATGTTTCTAGAGCTTTGAACGGAAACTTTCTGAGCGGAAGGATTCCCCCAACTATTGGCCTGCTCCAGTCTCTCGATTGGTGCGATCTATCAAACAATGCTCTTGACGGAGAGCTCCCGGTTAGCTCGTTTGGTGACACGGGCTTTGACAACCTGACAGTGTTAAGACACATGTACGTCTTTGCTACGACTTTGTTCTATATAGCTGAATTGTATTTTTCCAGGCATCTCAACAACAACAATCTTTCTGGTGCCATCCCGGCTGCGCTGTCTACAATGCCAAAACTATTTCACTTGTACGTCTTTGTTGGATTTTGCGAGTCACCAGCTGCTATGATATTTTATTCTTTTCGTCTTCCTGACAGGCTGCTGGACAACAATAACTTTTCAGGAGCCATACCTCCAGAAATCGGCAATTTGCCACAGCTGAGAATCTTGTGAGAGTTCTCTCTTTTATTTTTCTTTCTCTATAGAGTTCATGAGCTGCATATTCTAACTTTTATCAACAGGAGACTCGATAACAATAAACTTGAGGGTCCTGTACCTGAAACCATCAGCCGCATGGCTTTACTCCTTGAGCTGTATGATCCTTTTGATTTTTGATTGTCTTATGCTAAGTGGTGTATATTTGCAGACATTTGACTAATAATCCGCTCAATGGGAGCTTGCCAGACTTGTCTGCTGTTCAAAACCTACAGCTCATGTAATTTTCTAAAAGCTTTTCTGTTGTGTTCTTTCTTCTGAAAAGCCGGTTTTACAGTCGATCAGGCTATGTGAACTTTAGCCCGTCACAAATACCACTGTGGTTGCTCAACATGGCAAACCTTAAAACACTGTATGTCTGGAGTTGCGAAGAATTTGCTAAATCAGCGCCTTTTTTATCGTGATGTAGGGAATTTTTCAAGGGAAACCTTGTCGGACAGATTCCGGCGGAGCTATTCAGTCTTCCAAACCTTGAGGCAGCGTAAGAATTTTAAAGCCAGGCATTCTCTCTTGTTCCCTTGACATGATTAACTTGCAGTTTTTTGGATGAGAACCGTTTGAATGGCTCCATCGACTTTAGCACTGCAAGCCGGTCACTGGAACTGGTTTCGCTGGAAGATAATGAGATTTCTAGCGTAACATCTGTGCCAAGTCCTTTGACGGTCAGGTACGTGTGGATTTTTCTTTAGAACTGCATTCGGCTGAGATACGTTTCTTGTGCCTATATAGGCTTTCAGGAAATCCTGTTTGCAGCAATAACAATCCTGACAAGTTTTGTTCGAGCAATGGGAGAATATGGAACCCTTCAGTCGATCGATGCCATATAATGTGCGACGATCAGAAAACTTTGCAACCAGCTACGTGCTCCTGCGCGTATCCACTAATATGCACGATACAGTTCATTACTCCACCCTTCTCAGCAATAACGGTGGACAGGATTGACAACGTTACGGGGCAGCTTTCCGTGGCGCTCAACATTTCCCGGGGCCAGATATGGATTGGAAGTGCAGACTTCACGTCCAATCATCGCCTTGTCATGAACATCCTTTTCTTTCCGCCCGGCAAGAATGTCTACTTGGACCAAAGCTTGGTGTCGAAGATTATTCTCTTGCTGAGCATACAGAGGGTCAGCGTGCCTGAGTTTGGGCCTATGTTGCTCACAAACGCAAACCAGCCACAAACAAGTATGTTTTTCTTTAACGTGTTTCTTGTTTCGAATGCTAATGCTTTTTCTCGTAAAATTTTCAGCACCTCCGGTGGCAGCCAAACAAACTAAGTTTATGTTTATTGTCACGTTGTGCGTCTGCGTCGGAGTTTCAGCTGCGATAGCGGGTCTCTGTATCGTTCTTCTCGTTGTAAGGAGAAAACGGACTAGGGGCCCAAGCCACGATTATGGTGAGTGATGAAGAAAGTTGAGTTTCTCAGTTTTCTTTTTATCATTCTTGTAAAAGCAGGTTTCAGCAGCATTGGGGAGATTGCTCCCAAGTTCAAAGGATGCAAATGGTTTACTCTGGACGACCTTAGGAAGGCAAGTGATAACTTCTCAAGTAACCACTTGATTGGTGTCGGTGGCTATGGCAAGGTACGGGGCCTTCTTTTTCTTACAAAATGCGTGGTAGTGGTTTGCATGACATTAAAATGGGAGAAAAATTGCCACAGGTATATAAAGGACAGCTGCACACAGGAGAATTAGTGGCAATCAAGCGAGCCGAGAAAGAATCCTTCCAAGGCCTTGAAGAATTCCGAACCGAGATCGAGCTGTTTTCACGCTTGCATCACAAGAATCTGGTGAACCTCATCGGCTTTTGTACAGACGATGGACAACAGATGCTCGTGTACGAGTTCATGCCCAACCGGACTTTAAGAGACCATCTCTATGGTAAGTGTTGTTTATCTTCCTTTTTCCTCGCTTTGATTTTCTTGGTTGCAAACAAGTGGTATAAAGTGACAAGACAGCCTCTAATACTGCAGAGCAAGCTCTCAATTGGAAGACACGTCTCTCCATCGCACTCGGCTCTGCAAAAGGGCTGGAATACCTTCACGAGCTGGCGGATCCCCCCATTATCCACAGAGACGTCAAATCCTCCAACATTTTACTGGACGAGAACTTGGTGGCTAAAGTTGCGGACTTGGGGCTCTCAAAGCTGGCGCCAACTTGCAGCGACGAAAAGACATATAGCAGTGTCCAAGTGAAGGGAACTCTGGTACGTCTTCTTTCCCTCTCGAGCTTGACAAGAGCCTGAAAAAGAAATGGCAGGGGTACCTGGATCCGGAGTACTATGCTTATCACCAGCTATCAGCCAAGAGCGATGTTTACAGCTTTGGAGTGGTGCTCATAGAGATCATCACCGGGAAGCAGCCGATTGACAATGGCAGTTTCATCGTCAAAGAGATCAAGGAATCGGTTGCCTGGGGTGGTGTCGCTTCGCTGCTCTCGTTTGTGGACAAGCGACTCCTGGACGAGACGACTGTAGAACAGGTGAAGAAGTACTTCCGGCTGGCACTGCAGTGCGTGGAGGACTCCGGCCAGGACAGACCGAAGATGAACGAGGTGGTGAAGAAGCTTGAGGAGATAATCAAGTTGCAAGAGGTGCATGGCTCCAGTGATCACCAACAAAATCACCAACAAAACGGTGACAGTAACGAGAAGGAGGCCACCGGAGAGAGCAGCTTTGACGTTGGAGCTTTGAATCCAGAGTTTTACGCTTGGTCCAGTGATGACGCGGAAGAACCAACTTTCCAAGCTTTCGGTTTTACTGCAGCAGGGGAGAGGCAAGCCGGATTGGACCACCGATGTACAGTAGACGATTGAAAAGAAGGGCTCTACAGTTTGAAAGATTGCTATATGAGCCGTCCGAGTCATTTTGAACGTAAGCTCCCAGAATATTATCTCTTAATTCTATTTTAATTTTTTAATTTAGATATTATTAGTTTGCATGGTGAAAATGTTTTTTAAATTAGTTTTTTTAATTTTTAATTTTATTTTGCTAGTGTCCACTGCCACCACCACCGCAAGATGATCGCGACGACAACGAAGAAAATGCTGAGGACGGCACCATCTGGGATCCATCTACTTGGGATCGCTACTCTTGATTCTGATTCTTTCTTTCTTTCTTCCTGGAATCCTCAAGCTGTTTGTTGCAAAACCTGTATTAACGCAAGCAAATGCGAAGACAAAACTTTGCTCATGATTCTTATCCATGTAAAGTATGCTGTTGTAAAGCTAGTTTTGATCTCTACATTCTCAATCAGTCATCAAGCTCCCAGAGTGAAGCAGATGTCACCCCTTCTGGTTTGCACAACTTTTGCGTGTGTTCGCCTGCAGCTGGGCTCGCTCCCAAACAAATTTGGAAGTAAGGATTGACCACCTTGATTGCCCTCTAAAATCCACGCGTAGAATCTTCTAGAAATCTATGAAGAAAAAATCCGATTTATGGTCTGTGCAGTCGCAGTCCTCCCGGAGAAGGCTTGCGTAGACCCAGGATTCACACTGTAGCCCATGAAACGAGCCTAGAGCATCTCGCGTCGGCCAAGGCACAGGATCACGATGATCACGACCTACACTTAAGCTGGAAACTTAGTCCTTGTACGTGTAACGTTTGCGTATATCCCTACACAGCGTCACAACGTTCGCCTTGTCCATTGGGTTCATCACTATCGACGTATGCCGGCATAAAAAAAACTCGGCTTCATACTGATTCTTCCAGCGGCAATGCTGGCGTCTTCATGGTCACCCATCCCGAACACACTTTTGAGCTCCCTGGGCTTCAAATCCTTGACACACTTTGAATGGTCACTCTATAAACCATTCAAAGAGAAGAAAGAACTTTCATTCAAAGAATTCTCGACCTTGTAAGAAGTCCGCAGAAATAACTGCATGTAAGAGACGTGGCACGATCGCAGTATGCCATGCGTCCGAAATTGACAAAATCAGACCGCGGCAGAAGAAACTCCTCAGAACGTTTTGTTGACCACTGTTAAGTGTGACGTTCTCCCGAAAGGAAACTGCTCACGAAGCTCGTAAGAACGTTATTGATGTATTCGAGTTTAATTTGCATGCCGCTAAGTTTGAACGTGGAAACTATAAGAGGCCACCTTCAGGGGAGCTTGTAGAAGCAGTCATTTCTCGAGTATATTACCACAATATGGCGACCATCTTTGCTGGAGTTCTCGTGTTCTTGGTGCTTTTTGTCCTGACGAAGAGATTGAGTTTTACTCGCCAGCGATTGCCTCCATCCCCACTGAGCCTACCTTTGATCGGCCATCTCCATCTCTTAGCAAGAATGGCTCACCAATCTCTCCAGGTTCTCTCGAATAAATATGGCCCAATTCTCTATCTCAAGCTGGGAATGGTTCCAACTATAGTGGTGAGCAGCCCCGATATGGCGAGAGAGATTCTCAAGACACACGATGCAAAGTTTTCTTCCAGGCCTTACTTTCTCGTTGGAGAGTATTTCTCATATGGTTACTGCGGAATGGGATTCACTCCTGGTGGTGAGCACTGGAAGAACTTGCGAAAGTTGTGTGCCACGGAGCTCTTCACCATAAATCGAATTGACTCGTTTGAATGGGTGAGAAAGGAGGAGATTTCTCGAATGATATCAACTATTGAGAATACGAATGGCGTGATCAATATAAGAAATCTCTTGATCACGTATGGTTTTAACGTTATGACTGAGACTGTGATGAGCAAGAGATTCTTCTGCGAGAACGGAGCTTTGCTGGATGCTGATCAAGCCAGAGAGTTCAAGAAAGTCTCAATCGAGACTGTAGAGATGGCTCTCAAGTTTCATATTAGTGAGTTTGTCCCGTCTTATTTGAGGTGGATCGACTGGAACATTCCAAAAGTGAAAATTCTCCAAGCAAAGTCGGACAAGTTTATGCAGCAAATTGTCCAAGAGCACAAGAGAAGCAAAAACTCGAGAAAGACCAAAGATTTTATGGATGTTATGCTGGAAAGCTTCACAGATTCATCAAACAAGCAGTCATTTAAAGCTGAGAACACGGTCAAAGCACTCACAATGGTATGATTAAAGTTTCTCGAGCTTATTAAGTTAATATTATCCTCCTTTCTTGTTATCTCAGGAATTACTTGCTGGAGGAACCGATACAAGTGCCTCGAGCATTGAATGGGCACTCATGGAACTTCTTCTCAATCCACACACCATGGTTAAAGCTCGAGAAGAGCTAGTCAAATTCGTTGACTTGACCAACTCTACAGTCAACGAGGGTGATCTTCCGAAGCTAACTTATTTGAACGCTGTGATCAAAGAAACAATGAGGCTCCATCCACCAGCACCACTCTTGGTTCCCCACAAGTCAACTGTAGAATGCAAAATCGCAGGCTTTGACATTCCTAAAGGAACCACAACCATTGTCAACTTATATGCCATTGGAAGAGATCCAAATGTGTGGGAGAATCCAACAAAGTTTTGTCCCGAGAGATTCCTTGGAGACTCCAGGATTGACGTCAAAGGACAAAACTTTGAGCTCATTCCCTTTGGATCCGGGCGAAGAACTTGCCCCGGGATGATCCTTGGTCTTAGGAACGTCCAGCTCGTACTAGCAAATTTGATCCATCGTTTTGAGTGGGCTCTCATCCCGGGGCGAGAGTATGGAGTTGAAGAAACCACTGGGACTGTGAACTGGGCGAAAACTCCGCTAGAAGTGCTAAAGCGCTAATATGCTATTTACGAAATAATGTTATGAAAATCTTCTTGGCGCCAAATGTTTCATGTGTGTCTCCTTCGGCGATCTCGCGAGGCGATCGGTGTTCTTCTACGCGGATCTCGTCAAATCCTGCACGAAATCGAGGGATCTAGCAGAGGGCCGGCGCATCCACTCGCGGATTCTCCACAGCGATCATAGGCACAGCCTCTACCTCGCCAATCTCTTGCTCGACATGTATGGCAAATGTGGCAGCCTCGAAGATGCGCAGCAGCTCTTCCACAGCATTCGCAGCCCAAATCTCATCTCTCACAACATCATGCTCGCGTCGTTAGCACGAAACGGGTGCTTGGATCAAGCCAAGAGTTTCTTCGAATCCATGGCTGATCCCAACGAAGTCTCGTGCACAACAATGATAAAGGCTTACTCACAGAATTTTCAGCTCCAAAACGCAAAGCTAACCTTTGATGGAATGAAAGGAAGAAAAGTTGTATCGTGGAGCTCAATGCTTTACGCATATGCCCAAAGCGGGCATTTGGAGGAGGCCAAGACTACGTTTGATAAGATGCCGCAAGGAAACGTTATAACGTGGTCAACGTTAATGCAAGCCTACGCGTTTTCTGGAGATGTTGAAAAGTCAAAGAAAGTGTTTGATAAAATGCCGGAGCCTAATGTTGTCTCTTGGACTACTATGCTCCAAACTTATGCCCAGTCTGGGCATTTAGAGCTTGCAAAGTTAACTTTTGAAAGAATGCCTGAAAGAAACGAAGTGTCTTGGAACGCTTTAGCGGCCGCGTATGGAGAAAAAGGTGATGCAAAAAGGTCAAAGGAGATGTTTGTGAGAATGGCAAAGTGGGATTTGATATCGTGGGCGAGCTTCTTGCACGCTCTTGCCGAGAATGGCGATTTGGAGCAAGCAAAACTGGTGTTTGACGTGATGCCACAGCGAAGTGTCATGTCGTGGACGTCTCTAATGCTGGCTTACGGGAAGAACGCGAGGATTCTAGAAGCGAAAGCGATGCTCGATCGAATGAGCAAGCACAGCACCATGTCGTGGAACACAATGCTGATTGCCTACGCTCAAAATGGTAGCCTAGAAAACGCAAGAGAGATGTTTGATCGTTGTCTAGAGAAGAACACAGTCTCATGGAATGCGATGGTCACGGCCTACACTCAAGCTGGAAACTTAGTCCTCGCAAGAGAACTGTTTGCTGCGATGCCAAACCGGTGTAACGTTTCGTGGACTTCTCTCGTCCGGGGCTACATCCAAAATGGTCGTTTGGAAGAAGCAAAGTTTGTCTTTGAGAAAATGCCCAGCGTGGATTCCATGGCTTACAATACAATCCTGGGAGCTTACGCTCAAGTTGGTCACGTCCAAGGCACCGAGCAGGTGTTTGAAAAAATCCCCGAGAAGAATCACGTAGCGTGGAGCTCGCTGGTGGCCGCTCACGCTCACGCCGGACATGCAAGAGCCGCCTTAGCGATCTTTCAAACTATGGAGCTCGAAGGCCTGGAAGTCGATGAGATATCTTTTATTTGCGTTCTCTATGGTTGCAGCCATGGTGGATTGCTAGAGCAAGGCTGGGAGCTCTTCACGTCGATGAGCAGTGACCACGGGATCCAGCCTCTCAAAGATCACTACTGGCTGATGATCGATCTTCTGGGACGGTCTGGAAAGCTCGGAGCTGCGCTAGAGCTCGTCGAAACCATGCCTTATCGTCCAGACTTTGCGGCCTGGGGGAGCTTTCTGGGAGCTTGCAAGATCCATCTCGACGTGAAACGAGCAGCGTACGCGGCCGAGAAAGTCCTGGAGCTCGAGCCAAACAATGGAGGAACTTACGTTCTTCTCTCCAACATTTTTGGAAAGCTTGGGATGCACGACGAGGCCGAGAGAGTGAGAGGATTGATGAACGAGCGAGGCGTGAAGAAGCAAGCTGGAGAGAGCTTTCTGAGGCTGGAGGATGGATCCGTGCACAGGTTTGTGAGTGGTGATCGTTCGCATCATCCTCGAGTCGAGAAGATAATCCGACTTAACTCGCTTCTAAAGGACGCATGCTACGATCCAGATACCAAGGAAGTTCTAGAAGATGAATTCGATCTCTTATCTACGCAATGAGGCAGCTCATAGTCGATGAAGAACTTGCGAGAACTTCTGCGGTGAGATCGGATCCATCAACTGGATCATCAACTTAGAGCTAGTTTCCTTCGTATTTTACAAGCATGGAAAAAAGTTTCGCTAGAAACTTGACAACAGTCACAAAGACATGATGAGACTGTGAAGCTCTTATAAGATTAAACTCTTGGCCTTGTGTATCCTTGACTTGGTCGCCAATTTCTTCCATGTAGTCTTCGTGATTTTGCTGCTCCCACAGGCGTCTCTTCTCCAGGATTTGCTCGGGCGTCAACAAAACTTTCCACTTCTCAATTCCCTTCCTTCGTCTCGCCATTAGTTCTTCCACAGTAAAGTAGCCTTCCATCTTTCCTTTAATCAAACCACAATCGTAACATATATATAGCAGTTTATCCTTTTCCAAAAAAAGGTTCGCGTTCATCCTTTTGCATGGATATTCACAGCATATCCATTTAAAAGTGAATTTGCGGCTCAGATCCGAACCGTCGTTTGTAGCATACGTGGCAGGATCTTTACCGCATGTTCAAAACTTTTCTCGGAAACATTAGAACGTATGCGGCCACCGACCAAGATCATGGAAATTGGAAAACAAGTGGAAGACGAGGAGGAGGAAGAAACAGCGCTGGATAAGGTCTCAGCATTCCTTGGTGAGAATCGCTTAGCAACTGGCATAGCGTTGCTAGCCAGCATCATAATCTTACACAAGACCATCCTCTTCTTCCTCCCCCTCTTTCTCTCCACCGCCATTTGCGTGCTTGCACTGTCCAGGATATGGATGATCCTGGAGCACAGCCCAGTCCCAGAGGCTCCGCAACTAGGCACCGATGATGATCAAACCCAATCGCATCCAGGAGCCCAGCACCTCGATCATCGAACGAGTATGAGTCTGTGCAGAGCTCTCGCGATGGAGCTCTTGGGTTTGGCTGCCAATGCCGCGAGTCGCCACGGTGATGCTCTTCGCGAGTGGCTCAAGAGGGCGAGAGAAGTTCTGGAGGGCCTCCAGGAATTGAGCGCTTGCTGCTTCCAGGAGATCGACTCGAGGCTGCCCGACAGGCGATGGTTTGCGGCAAAGGCACAGGGCTTTGGCGAGATTCTTGGGGTCGATCTTAGCTCCGCGATCGGCTTGTTACAGGATTTAGTCACGGAGGATACTGTTCTAGAGGATGAGCGACAGATTTTCCCTGGAACACGGGCACATCATAACGGTAAAGTGACGCGTCATGACACGTCAGAATAGCGTTAGTGACGTGGCTGGCCAGCATAGCAACGCGGGAAGAGGAAGCTTCACGCCCTTTTCTTCTTCAAAGGCTTAGGTCTCTGGGTCTATCGATCGATCCTGCTCGCACAGAGCTCGATCGAGCTGGGCGGGATCGAGACTTCGATCGATGGAGTTCTTCGACGGCGCCAGGAAGGTGAAGCTAAGCAATTGCCACGGCAAGTTCCTGTGGGCGGACGATGACAAGCGCGGGGTGTCCCAGAGCCGCAAGAGCGATAGTGAGAATGCGATCTGGGAGGTGAGGCGCGTGATGGTGGGCGATGGGGAGAGGATTCGCCTGAGGAGCTGCTACAATTGCTATCTCACTGGATCGCGCACCCCTTTTCTGCTGGGAATGACGGGCAAGAAGGTGATCCAGACCAATCCCACCAAATCGGACGATCTCTGCGACTGGAAGCCCGAGGAGATTGTGCCCAATCGATTGATCGCGCTGCGGACGCGCGATGGATCGCTCCTGCGAGGCAACGGAGGCACACCGCCATGGAGGAACAGCGTCACGCACGATGTGCCACTTGTCGCGGGTACATTAGATGTTTTCTGGGCTGTCCACGTGGTCGAGTGAGCGTCGTTAGATATAGTTTCCAAATCGTAAAATATTCTAAAAGAATATCCGAGCATGATTTTAGGATTGACCAAATCTTGACCAAAAGGTTTCGTTTAGTTTACGTCTTCACATTCTCATCTTATTGTTGAGTCTTTTGTGAAAGACTATATATTGAGCTATAGTGTTGCATTGTCTTCACTGTTGTCAAGTTTTTCTAAGAGTTATCTATTCAAGTTTGAAGGAAATATGAAGAGCTTTGAGCGTGTGTGCGATTCCAACAAGGAGAGAGTCCTTGGCTCTTGAGTGTTAGTGCTCTGAATGATGCTCTCAAGTCTTTGTGGTATATTCACACTGCTTTTTCTAAGATGATCTGTTTTTTTTCTTGGCTTTAGCCTCAAGTCACAAAGATTTGTGCTCCGAACTGTTGTAATGATGAAAGCATGGAAAAGATCTTCAAGTTCTAGCAATCTTTCACTCTTCCTCTCCATTTGTAGAGCTACATTTTCAGATCAAGAGAGAAAAATCCTCGATTCTGCCGGCAGGTGTCTTGGCTTGGCCTGCATTTTGGATGGTGTCAACGAAGAAGACGACGAAAGAGTAGTGAATCTTTCCATAATCGAAATAATGGGATCTAAAAGGTTGAAGCAGTTTCTCAATTCGAGTGCTAGAATCTTGGTGGTTGTTAAGGAAACTGGCGAGATTCATGGAATTCTCAAGCTCTTGTTATCCAAGTTTGCACAGAGGAAAGACCACATCACTTTCTTGCATGTGTTTCAAAGCTCAGGTAAATAATTTCACTCAAGTTTCAAGTGCCTCTTATTTCTTCAAAGCTACTACAGAGGACTTGCAAAGGTATCAAGCTGGATTATCTTTCGACAGGGCCATTTGCCAAGCTTTGCTTGACATTCATTTGAGAACTCCAAAGGTTTGAGTTTTACATGTGAATTTCTATTGATGCATTTGTAAAAAACAGGTGACTGTTTCATCAGTAGTAGTCCAGAGCTCAGATATTTGCAATGGAATCGTTCAAGAGGCCAGAAAAATCAAAGCAACATTGGTTGTTCTTGGGAATTCGCAAAGGCAATTTATTTCCAGGTTTGTTTTCGGTTTACATTATAAAAATCTGTGGTTCTTTGTTCAGGACCATGAGCAAAATTGGAAAAACTTGTGTAAGAAATTTACCTTCCTACTGTTCTGTCATGGTCGTTCGCAAGGGAAAAGTGATGCAAGTCAAATCTGGGTGTGCTAATTGTGAGTATAGATATCATTTGCTTCTCTTGTTAATGATTTTGTTTTAAAGGCAAAGATCACACACTAAAATCCTTACTTCAAAAGGAGAATAAGTTAGAAAAGGAAGAGAGCCAAAACTCAAGACGGAGCAGCAGAGCATCATCAAGCTCATGTTCTATGGAAACAGTCTTGAGTTTCTCAGCTGATATAAGTTCTGATTTATCATGGTCCTCAGAATCAGGCTCACCCACCACGGTGCTTAAAGACCGAACTCTCTCAAGAAATCCAAAATCAGAAAATGTATCTGTCAAAGAATTCTCATACGAGGAGTTGCTCCAAGCCACTGGAAACTTTGCAATGGGTAACCAAATTATTTATATTCGATATTTTCCATAATTATTTTTATCTTTCCAGAAAACTTGGTTGGAAGTGGGGGTTGTTCTCATGTTTACAAGGCAACTCTTCAACATGGAACCATTGTTGCGGTGAAACATTTGCTAAATAGCAACTCCGGTCAACGAGAATTCTCAAGAGAAATCAAGTTCATATCTTACATTCGTCACCAGAACCTGGTATCGCTTATTGGCTTCTGTTCTGAAGGAACACACAGGCTGCTGGTCTACAAGTTTTTGCAAAATGGGAGCCTTCAAGATCATCTTTATGGTCAGTTATTTCCTTTTCTTTTTTTCATTTTTATAATATGTTTTCCAGGTAAAAGAAAGGTATTAAGCTGCAAAAAGTAGCACTTGGAGCTGGAAGAGGCCTTCACCACCTTCATAATCTTGCTCCTCATCATATAATCCATCAAGATGTGAAGAGTTCCAACATATTGCTCTCTCATGACTTTGATGCACAAATCTCAGATTTTGGCTTTGCAAGATGGAGTAACGAAGTAACCAGTGGACTCGTTGGAACTTTTGGGTAAGATTTTCTTTACAAACTCGCTTCCTGTAAATGTGTGAATGCTCGTAGTTATATGGCTCCAGAGTACATGGTTCATGGATATGGCAATGAAAAAACGGATGTTCATGCGTTTGGAGTGGTGCTCTTAGAGCTAATTTCTGGAAGAGCTCCCATTGATTTCACACTTACATCAAAAGAGCAAAGCTTGGTACATTGGGTATGGATCTTTCACAGGTGCTAATTGATGATAACTTGTTAAACAGGCACATTTTCTTGAGAAAACCGGTGCTACTCATGAGCTGGTGGATCCAAATTTGACAATTCTCAATGCCCATGAGATGAGAAGAATGATGTACACAGCATTTTTGTGTGTGCGAAGTGCGCCAGATGAAAGGCCCAACATGGAACGAGTAAGAACTTAGAAATCTCCATCATTGGCATTTCTTATGCAAGTTTCTTAACTTTCTCAGGTGGTAAATTTGCTGGATGCTAATATGGATTGCAGAGAACCTTTGCTCTCGAGATATCAAAACTTGACTTCATATTAAATGAAAATTGATCGCACCATAAATCAGAAGATAATCAGTTAATAATTTGCGTGGCGGACACTCCGTGGGAGACTCCTCACGATGTAGGGAAAAACTGCCCTAACGCCCTGATAGCCAGAGATGGGATTGCGGCACAGCGGCGGATTGATCGGTCTGGGCTAGGTTCTTGATCGGATCGACACCAGCACCGTGCTGGGACTAAGCTTGAGTGTGTCCGGAGCTTTGTGGGGTTTTGCGAGCGGCTTCTGCCGATTCTAGAGCAATTAGATACCGGCCAGGACGGGGAATTGCCAGTGGCACTGGCGACGGCGCTGGTTAGCAGGGCCGAGTCGGTTCTAGAGGCTTACGAGGAGGCAACTAGGCGATCAAGGAGCTCCTGCGTGTCATGCACACGGGTTTGCAGATTCCTCGGGAAGCAGGACTGACGCGCTGACCAAGACCATGGAGGACTTGACCCAGAGTCTTTGGAATGGATCTCTTTGCTAAATTGTCATAGCTTAAGCGGAGGATAGAAGACCAGATGTGCTAGATTCTATGTCTACTATATATATATATATATATATATATATATATATACATTTGGGTTTGTTGTAAATCTTGTCTTTGTCTAGGTGACTGATACTGAGAAAAGTGATCTTGACAAAGGGGTCACAACTCTGGAGCACTGGAAGAATACATCTCTCGACAGCCAACAAGTGGCCCCAATCGAGACTACTTGCTTGCCTACTTTCTGCAAGAACGATACACAAACGATCTGGATCTTGCATGGCTCTGGAATTTCCCACTGCAAGATTGGGGCGTCCTCTTTACGCAGTTGCTCCATCAACATCTGTCCACTGTTCAATCGATAGAATTCTTCAAAGACTGAAGGTTCAGGAGTAAGTAGTTGAGACATCAAAAGTCGTGATAGTCCCGAGTGCATTGATCTTTTTGGAAGTAGAGAGTTAGTAGTTGGGCTCTTTTGGATGATCCCCATGACCATTCTTTTGGAGTGATAATTACACTACCACACATAGAAATAGGTTAGCTTTGCTCTAAGTGTAAAAATGTGTGATCTTTGGATCCTTCTTTCTTGGGCAAAGTGATAGTGTTGGGGATAGTCCAAAGTTGAGTTGAGCTCAACTCAGCACAAGTCAACTCAAGTCAACACAGTCAACTAAAAGTTTTACAAAGGAAATCTAAATTGAAATAAATTGCTGTGCGTTGCATTGTAGCAACACTTGGTTTGCTTTTGTTTTTAAATATTTTTTATTATGATATATAATTTGTTATGATCTGTCCAATATGCAGGTGCTATTCCTGCTTTTGTATATATTATATCTTTTATCCATATATGATCTATTAATTTATTATTATGTGTATTGTGTTTTATTATTTGTATATATCCTTCTTTCTCCATTATTGTTTGAAGTGGTTTTACTTCTTCTATTTGGTAGTCAATTATTACTGGTTTTTTATTATCTATTTTCTGTATATATTTTTGTAGTTGTTTTATGAATATATGTATATTTGTTCCAGGTCTTCTATGTAAATTTATTATCTGTAATTGTTTTTTATTTTTTTCTAGTGATACATATGACATTGCCATTGTTTCTGTTTTTAAATGTTTTACTATTTCTGATTTCTAGTCATTTGTATGCAATATTGCTATGTGTGGGGGTTGTTCATGTATATATGATTTATATTTATTAAAATATAAATCCTCATGTTTTTGTGTTCTTACTTCTTGCATACATATTATATCTGATGTTAATAATTGTGAATCACTCTTTATATCTTCTTGATGTGCAGTAATAGATCTTGTATTTAGAACTTGTATAATTGTTTGGTTAGCTTTTTTTTCTTCTTGTAAATCTATTAAATCAATTTGCCATGGTGCTTCTGTTGTCATTCTTATTATTTCTTTAGCTGCATCTTTATTGATTTTAATATGTTTATGTTCAATTGGTCTATATAAATGTATCCCTTTTAATGTTTGTGCTCTTGATAATGCAGTATATGCTTGTCCTGGATATTTTGTTTTATATGGGTCATATCCTAATTGCATAACTGTTGATCCTTGTGCTCTATGTATTGTTCTTCCTGCACATGGTTGTACTGGAAATTGGGTTCTACTTATAACATGGTTTTTATTTTTAGTAATATTTATTGTTCTTGTTATTTTTTTTTATTGGTGTCCAGTTTTTTTCATTATTTTTCTTTATTGTTATATTTTCTTTAGCTCTTGTTTTTTCACCTGTTTTTATATTTGGGAATTCTATCCATATTATTTGTTCTTCTTCAATCTGGGTTATATCTTGTAATACTCCATCTACTCCATTTACTAATCCATCTTTTGTTGCTATATTTTGTGTTATTTCAATTGTCATTTTCTTTTTCAAATGTAATATTTTATGTAGTCCTTGTGTTTTTCTTGTGTCATTTGGCAGCGTGAAATGTGTAGGACAGGAATTTCCATGTTTGTCTTGTGCTTCTATAATTATATCTTTACCTTGTATGTGTTGTATTATTTTTTCATTATGTTCTCTTACTTGTTTATTAGTTGCAAATATAGAATAGTATTTTGTGTTATATGTATCTATGGTGACTTGTTTATTTATATATTCTAGCTCTTTATCTGTTTGTTCTCCTATTTTTATTTTATTTAAAGCTTTTATAAAGATTATATAATCTTTTTGCCTCATTATTTCAGTAAGTTCATAGATTTTAAAATTATTTTTCCATGGGTGGTGTATGGAGAAATCATTTTCTGGTCTATATGTTTTTGTTGAATAAATTGGTGCTTCAAATGTAGGATTTAATTGATAGAAATCACCTGTAAATATACAATCCATCCCACCAAAGTCTATTCCATATGTTGTTTTGAAGCTTTCATATCTTCTATTTATATCTTGTAGCATTTCTATACTTACCATTGATATTTCATCTATTACTAAACATTTTATTGTTGAAAACTTTCTTTTATATTTATCTAATGTGTCATTTATTAATATTGTTTGACGTTGTTTTGATGCTTCTGGTCGAAATGCAAAAGCTGAATGTATTGTTGAACCATTTATATTACAAGCTGCTTTTCCTGTAGGTGCTGTTATTAATATTGTTTGTCCTGGTTCATTATTTATATCTTGGTTTGTTTTATAATATCGTTTGAGTGTTTCTATAAGTGTATTTAAAAGCATTGATTTTCCAGTTCCTGCTCCTCCTGTTAAAAATAAGCACAATTGTTTGTTAGGTTGTTTTATTTTTTTCAATATGAAGTCATCATGTATTATTCTTTGCTTTTTATTAAGAGTTCTTAATAATTTGTGATATTTACTAGTTTCCATAAGGTTTTGATCTTGTATTATAATTGTTGTATTTGTTAATATTTTATCTTTTATATTTAATTTTAAGTTTTTGTTAATTTTCATTTTGAATAAATCTTTCCCTATATCAAATTCATCTGTTTGGTTTGTGTTTATTTCTTGTATATACTGTGCCTGTTCTTTTAATATTTTATTTGCTTCTTGTTCTGGATTCTCCCAATCAAATTCACTCTCATTTGTTATGTTTTTATATATGTATTGATGTTGTTTTTCATTTATTTGTTCCATATTTGCTTCATATGCATTCATATATGTGTAAGCCACAAATTTTTCCTTTCCAATTTGCCAGCTTACCTCGACTATCCGACCAACTCTGCCCTGGCTTGTGCTAAGTTCCCTCGCCAAGGTTCTCGCCTATGGTACCAGCTCCTACTTGGTCCTACTTGGTTTCAACTACTCACTGCACGAGCAACGGAGTGTTAGCCATCCATCTACGGATTCCCAAATCTCTCCCAATCCCCCTCCCCGGGTTAGACTGGACTTAAGGTTCGGTTACACTCCCCGCAGGCACAAGCAGCCAAGCACACCAAGCCTCCAGATTCCTAACACCCCAAGGTACCACAAGACTTGATCATGGGACCCTCTAAATCCCAAGCCTTGGGTGCAGCACTTGCTTCAGGACGTCGGGGCGAAACACCGTGGCCTAACGGCCTGGTATGGGTACCTCTACCCCCCCACTTCCATCCCGAAGGGAAGGCCCAAGCCCCTAGGAAGGGTGAGGACCAATGAGCCACAAGGTACTCAAGTGGGGCACCACTCCACCTGAGCCGGGAGCACCGCAGTCGGTTTCCCTTTCGGGAGTGGGAGCTGCTCTTGAGCACTTCCCTGGGTGGCCCCTCCGGCACCACTCAGGCCCATGCTCACTCCCACCCAAGGCCCCTCGGCCCCAGTCTCAACCTCAAGTCAGTTTGGAAGCACCACTGGAGAGTTCCTTCAAGACTGGTTCCTGGACCTCACTATCCCTACTATACTTTTGGAACCCCCTGCAGCCCCCCCCCCCGGGAGATGCACGCTTTGGGCTTTCACCCCTTGACCCGTATTAGTATTTGGACTTAGTCTCTGGCTCGATCTCGGACCCGATTTCGGATCCGACTTCGGATTCGGTCTCAGACTCGATCTCGGACCCGATCTCGGACCCGACCTCGGACTCGACCTCGGACTCGGTCTCGGACCCGATTTCGGATCTCGGACTCCATCTCGAACTCGGTCTCGAACTCGGACTCGAACTCAGTCCCCGAGTCGGTCTTGGACTCGATTCCAGACTCTATCTCGAACTCGGTCCTAGAGTCGGTCTTGGACTCGATCCTCGACTTGGTCCCATCCGATGAACTCTTTGTCATTTCGGTCAAGCTTTTGGGGATCCTTTAGCTTACGACATCTCGGGGAGTCGGTTCCTTACAACTCCACCACCCATAGAAGAAGTTCGATGCCCACATCGAACGTCTCGTTTTATCCTACGACTTGTTGACCATGTCTCCGGGGGCATCCCCCCACTTAGCGGTGTGCCTAAGTTAGCCTCCCCGGCCAAGAGCCCATGACAACGGAATATAGGTGTCCCTATACTCCTCACCTCACCACGCCCTAGTATGGGGTCAGGACTTGAACCCAGCCTTGCTTTACTAGGGGATTGGGACTCGAACCCAACCTCCGTAGAATACGTCTACGGATTCGACATCCCCGCGGGGAGTCGGGCGTAGTGCCCTACGCCTGGTCGACCTATCCAACCCATGATAATTAGCTTACCTTTGGCGCGCCTTCGGGTCCCAACATACGCCACTTGCTCAACTTTGCAAATTGATATTTTTAATTGAATTTTGCATAAGTACATAGAGTTTTGCCTTGCAGAAATTCCTCCACTAGATCTCGCGTGTTCGCTAGGTTCTCCTCTGGTTCCCATGTTGCTTCGCAGTGTGGAAATCCTTTCCACTTCACATGGAACTCTCTCACCTCGCGTCCTTGTCGCTTGCTCTTGCGCGCATTGAGGATGGCCTCGACTTCGTATTCCTCTTCCCCTTGGATAACCTCAGGTAAAGGTCTCACTTGGTCCTTGCGAAGCAGATCCTCAAAGTACGGCTTGAGTAAGTTCACGTGGAACACTGGGTGCATCTTCCCCATCTCTCGAGGAAGTCAGAGTCGGTAAGCCACTTTACCGATTCGTGCCTCAATCTCGTAAGGCCCCACGAACCTGCTTAAGGAACTCAAGATCAATTCATTTACAGGAATACATGCATCTTTACCTTTGGGTCAACTTTCGGCTGATCCCACTTGGTAGTCTGAGGTTCTTGGTGTTCAGCCACACCTTCTCCCCAGCTTGGAACTCTACATCCCGACGCTTCTGGTTCGCGTATTTGGTTTGCCTTTGTTGAGCCCGTTCCAAGGAATCCCTCACTAGATTCCAAATGCTGAGTCTTTCCGCCATGAATGCCTTCACTGCGGGCAACTCTCCATGATACTCGGCCACGCCGAGTTCCACAGGACCTTCAATA